CGGTGAGCCTACCTTCGAACAGCCCCACCGTACGTCGTGAGGAACCTCTGTATGTGACAGTCGTTCGCGGTCAGCACCGAGTTCAAGGAGTTCAAGTTTTCAAAGTCGATCGTCCGACCCCCTGTCGGGCCCGTTTCCCGTCCGATTACATGTAGTTTCCCAAAGATGGGTAACATATTCGAATCCTCTCGTTATTGCGGTCGTTTTCATATATTACATGACAGATTTGTACATCATTTGTGCTACCGAATTCGCGTTTGAAATCGGATTTTTGGTTTGGTTTGTTATTGTTTGTTGATTGTTCGTATGTTCGTGGATTTTCGGGAATGATTGGAACTCTCGATTTCATAAACGAGTATATCGTTATGTAGCTGTGTTAAAATTCTTTAAGTATGGAGTCTCGTTTTATCGTTTTCTGAGCCGTATAATTGCCGTTTTTTTGTCCCGAGCAAACTTGTGTAACATCCCAGTTCAAAGGTTCTGTATCTGTTATTTTGCAAATTCAAGTTTTAAAATTCAAGATAAGTATTCTGAAATTTCACTTCAATTTGCAAGTCATGCGTGTGGCGCAGTGGTTACGTTGTTAACATGAATGTTCGAGGGGCAAGGTTCGAACCTCCCAGCCGTATGTTCTTGTTTTATTTTTTTAATGTACCCAGCCCCAGGCGCGCACGGCCCGACCTGTCTCCGCAGCCTTCTGCCCGCGAGCCTGCGTGGCCCAGCTCTGGCCCGCAGCCTACAACCTTTGGTTTGAGCGGCCCAAATGGGTGTGTTGGCCCAATTCCTTAGCAAATTATTGGCCCAGTTTTATCATATTAGCCCAATTCACATTTTAAGCCAATTTTGTGTTCCGGAGCCCATTTTTCGTACCGATTTCAATTTTAAAAATATTTTTAAAATAATAAAATTTTGGGAAAAATTATTTTAAGTCCCGAGACTCCAAATTTTAGTTCTCCGAGTCATATTTTTCGAAAACGAGAGAGTTCTACGTCCACGAAAAATCCGATTAAAACCCTTAAGACTTAATTTTTATTAAGTATGGGTTTCATGTTAAGTTTGAGTAGTGAGATAAATTATTGATAAATTATCTCGCTTAAATGTAGGTATTTGAGGAGTCGAGCCTCATCCTACGTAGTTGCTATTGTGTGCAATATTCTACGGCAATTTCCAGGTGGGTTTTAATTGTAAAATTTGTTATGCCATACGTGTTTATCATAATGTTGACTTGGTATGATTCTAGTATGTACGTAAACTATGTAGCCTATCAGCGTGAGCCGATTCGGCCGTCGGTACGGTTGTCCCCGTCGATGTAATACGGTTACCTGCGAGGTAAGTCTCCGTAAGACCTAATGAAAGGCCGTGTCTTATCGTACGGCACGTACCCCCATGAGTTAGGGTAATGAATCCCCTTTCCTTGGCTAATGAAAGATGTGTACACGTGGGTATTATGTTGTGATGTGATTAGGAGACGTGACAGATTAATTGTTTTATGTTCATACTCTAACCATGCCTTCTCTTCATTATTTATGCTGTGATATATGTGCATAGTGGTGAGCACGCTTTTCATCTTGTGCTCATCCCCACCTGCTCTTCACTGATGCAGTTTAAGCAGGAGCTGGGTGACGAGAAGAGGCGAGTGGGTCGGTCATTTCATTATGCATTTTATGCTTCCGTAGAATAAATAAAACTTTATGAACCTTTATGTTGAGACTTGCTTAAACCTTTTTCCAAAACTTATGGCATGTTTGTTTTTGTGAAATTTGTGGAAACCTTGATTATTGGGTATGATGATGTGGTTTGATTATTCATATTGAGTATTAAGTCTCGTATGATATGTTTTGGTTAATGAAAACCATTTGTGAAAACCGGGTAATGAATCCCCGCGGGCCCAGATAAGACTTGGGTTATAAAAAATGTTGTTTAACACCCATTAAATTTTGAAAATGATCTCGAAAAAATTTGTACTGATTTTTGGAAAGTTCGGAATTTCTGTAAAATTAAAGTGGGGTGTTACACTGATCATGTCTGCAATTCAT